AATTATATCTATTTACTGCGTACTGTTCTAAAATTGTCCATGTATATTTTTTTTGGAATTTTAAAGACTTGTATTATTTGTATTGTGTATTTTTTGTTGTTTGTATTTGTTTGTAATTTTGTTGTTTGTGAGTGCTTTGTCGACGAAGCTGTTTTGGCTTTTTGTACAATAAAGCGCTGTTTGTTGTTTGTTTGTTGTAGTGCTGTGGTTAGGTTAGGTTAGGTTAGCTTTTTCTACAGCCTCCCCCACCAGACGATTTTCCTCCTTTCTTTATTTATATCTTCATACTTACATTTACTTAGTACAGTGTTTTTTTTCAAATCTCTGGGTTATTCTTTCAACTGTTGATTTATTCGGACTATCCGGATACTGAGCTGCGAACATATCCGACACAGCGCGGATACTGTTTCAAACAAAATGCTATTTAATCATTTTAACTTTTACGGAAGTAGTGAAAATCATAATTATTTTGTACAAAATTACTCTATTTCGAACCTTCAAATTCTTGTAAACAAAATATGACATCAAAATAACATTGAAAAATTCATACTTTTGCTGATATTTCAATTGTAGGTTTCTCTGGGGCGTATTATAAATTATACTACTTTGACGGTAGATTTTTGCAAATAACATTTAAATGCCGATTCCGAATAAAACGAAATTTTTGGCGGTAAGTACAACATTAACGCATCTTCAAAAGTCTAATGTAAGTTTTGCATTAAATCACCAAGTGCGATAATATTTGGCCTTTTCAGAATTTACATGGGACATCCTATATCCCTTTTTCCGGTGCACCACACCCCCACGGTATATAAATTACACATTTTTGGAGTTGTTAATATGACATACGTATACTATGCTCAAAACAAAAAAAGAAAATTTTCGAGTTAATTTTAAGTTTAAAACAATAATCAATCTTTATTTAAAAAGACTGGGAAAATACTCGCTCATTTGTATTTATTTGTCTTTATTTCCTTCTTTAAAACCAAAAACTATTCTCCAAGAACTTCCAAGTGTTTTATGAACACGGCGAAGCAGTTTCGGCTACCCCATAAATATCACTTATTCCAACATTAATCTAGACCATTCCAAAACTAGCACAGAGTTAAAAAGAAAATTTGCAATCGGTTATAAATTACCAAACATTTTTCACTTTTTTTATAGTTCGGTCGGTAACAAATGAACTCGGAGTGAAATCCTCAAGTTGCCATCTATCTCGGTTGAACGCTTTTCCCGATTTTCTATTTCCCCGTTTACACAAGCGCCCTTTTTTCGTCCGCAACCGCTATACACGGACAAGGTTTATATATAGGTCTAATTTTCTGATGCCTAATTTTTTACCGGAAAACAACTTTGCAACATATATGAATGAGGTTTTTGTGCCTGCGAAATATGTGAGAGGGCTCCCATTTTTTAAGTATATATAAATATATATTTTAAGTTTTTAAAATCCTGGTTTTAAGTCAGTAAGTATTTAGTTAATAAAACGAAACTTTTGTTTGCATTTTGTTTAATAATTGACGTTTCGACCAATTTCGATTTAATTCGGTCGATTAAATTCGGTCTTCTTCAGAATCACACACAAAAAAGTTCTTCAATCCGCTACTATGATACATGCAATATAATATTAAAAAACAGCAATATAAAGGGTGTCCCTGGCTGAGCGTGCATTAGAAGTTTCTAGAGAACTACAATATCTAGATCCGAGATTTTTTGCATATGATTGTTTCACAATGAGATATGTCGATTGAAAATGTGTTCAATATGGCGGTACTTCCAGAAATACCGGAAGTTGACAGCAACTTTCTTATTTTAAATGGGTACCCCCATTTTTTATTACATACTTAAGTTCTCTGTAAAATTTTATGAATTTTGATGTTATGTGATATCTAACATTAACCGTTTTTGAGGAAAAAAAATATTTGAAATTTTTGGACGAAAAAAACTGCCTGTCAAAAATATGTGTATAGCCTAAACGTTAAATTTAATGATTACCACAGCCACTTTTTTCTCTACCTACATCATAGGTAGGTGTAGGTACTCTAGGTATATTCTACCTAGACAGTAGCTGAACTAGCTGACAGTAGTAATTAATTTGTTATCCGATAAGTAGTTGTCATTATATAAGTTTAATCATCTTATACCTCCTATAATGGAATGCTGTGCCATAAAGAGAAGACATGTGGCTATCTATTTAAAAAATTAAATTGTTCGAATGTCATAAAATAACGAAAGCAGCTGTCATGTAATTGAACGAAAAAAAGTATCATAAATAATTATTTTTTCAAATCGAAACCAACTTTTTTTATTTCACTAGTGAAAAGGCTAGTTTTCAATTCGTTACTTTGGTCATTCGTTACATGTTTCTATACCTAAAAAAAATTATTTTTCAAGCGTAAGATAAGTAGTATGTTATCGATCATCATTTTCAAGCCAACTTTACTCTGTCTTTTTTTCGACCATATATCGGTATATTATTAAAAATATCAAGTATTAGATATCACCTTTGTTAATATATTCTTAAATATAAAGAAAATCTAGGAAAAATACATAATACATCTCTCTCTCTCTATCTTTATTCCTACAAAAGGAATGTAGTGGTCAGGTGATGTGTGAGGTTTGTCTCCATAATTCCCTGTCTTGTGCTTCATGTACAAGCATGTGCAGTGGCTTGTGGGTGATTTTTGATAGCTGGTCTATCCATCGGGAAGGCGAGCGGCCTCTTGGTCTTCTTCCCGGAACCTTGCCCTGTATAATGAGTTTTTCCATACAGTCAGTATCCCTCCTTATAACGTGACCGAAATATTTAAGTATACGTGACTGTATAGAAGTTGAGAGGCGTTCTGTGATGTTCAGTTCTTGGATGATGGATTCATTGGTTCGCCGGGCAGTCCAGGGAATTCGGAGCATTCGTCGCCAACAGTACATCTCAGTTGCATCAATTTTTTTCATTTCTGACTGTCTCATCGTCCAGGACTCGGAGCCATACATTAATATAGGAAATATTAGGCAGTGAACAAGCCTTTTTTTAAGTGTTTAGATATGTTTTTGTCTCGCCATATCTTTGAGAGTTTTCGCACTGCCACTCTTGTCATTTCACATCTTCTTCTTATTTCCCCTTCTAACGATCCCGTGTTGTTTATAAGTGACCCAAGATATATATAGTATATATTGACTTACAACCTCAAAACGACTAATGCTCACTACATCAGGTTTGTTGTTGTTTTGCCTGTCGATAATCATAAGTTTTGTTTTAGAGGGATTAATCTCAAGTCCAAGTTTCTCGCTTTCGTCTTCAACCAATTTTAGAAGCTGCAGTAACTCTTCCTCGTTTCCCGCTAGAAGGACCGTATCGTCTGCAAATCTGAGGTTGGTAATTTTGTGACCATTAATTGTTGTCCCCCCTTGCCAATGTTCCAATGCCCTTCTCATGATATATTCAGTATATATATTGAATAACTGAGGAGATAGTATGCACCCCTGCCTAACACCACAGGTAGGCTGGAAGTCTTCCGAAGTAACGCCATTGATGGTAATTCTACTTTTGGTATTTACATAGAGATTCTGGATCAATGAAATCAAATGAAGTGACACGCCCATTTCTTTAAGAACCATCCATAGTTTTGACCATTTGACTTTGTCAAAAGCTTTTCGATAGTCTATGAAAGAAATATAGAGAGGATTGTTAAATTCTCGGGCCTTTTCGATAATCTGACGGACATCCAAAATTTGTTCACGTGTTCCTCGACCTCTTGTGAATCCTGCTTGCTCTGGAGGGATTTGTGGTTGAATATACGGTTTTAACCTTTCGTTAATGATATAAAGAAGAATCTTACTGGCATGTGAAATTAGCGCAATGGTACGAAAGTTGTCGCATTTGACTGGAGATCCTTTTTTGTGGATGGTTATTATGGAACAATCGGTCCAATCTGATGGCCATTGGTGAGTATGCCAAATCATATTACATAACTTGTGCAAAATGTCCACACCAAAATCTCCCGACGCTTGGAGCATTTCGGCCGTGATGTGATCTGGTCCCGGGGCTTTATGATGTTTTAGGTTTTTTATTGCTGCTTCAATTTCCGATTTCAGTATGTCTGGTTCTTCATTAATTATATCACTGTGGAAAGAGCAACTAGGCTGAGGATCTTTTTCTTTATACAGTGTTCCGCAGTATGTTCGCCATCGTTCCACTATTTCGTTAATTTCGGTTTTAAGTTGTCCTCGATCGTCTTCTATTGCCCATATTTTTGGCTTGAATTCACTTGTGAGGTACTTTATCTTTTTAAATAGGTCCCCTGGTTGATTTGTCAAAGCGTGAGATTCTATTTCCTGGCATATTTTTTCATAGTAGTTGTTTTTGTCGATGGTGCAACTGTGTTTGATCTCTGTATTTATTTTTCTATTTTTCTATATTTATTTTTTTCATCTTGTGTTTTTATACCACTTTGCACTAATGTTCGTCTTTGTTCAATTCTTAGCAATGTGCTGTCAGAAATCCAATGTTTTTTTTGTCTTTTGTTTAGTTGTCGAGAAGTGGCATTACTCAGACAATTTTTAAAGTCTATCCAAATCTGTTGGGGTTGGGTGTTCTCGTTAATGTTCCACGATGTTTTCAGTAGTTCTTGTTGGAAATGTGTTACGTCGGGGATCTCCATCTGATTTGATCTTGGTTTTCTTACAACATTTTTTAACTTTATACGAATCTTTGTTGCCAGTAGCTTATGATCCGAGCCACATATTGCTCCGGGGTAAGTCCGTACTGTCCTGAACGAGGTTCTCCATCTCGAGTTAGAGAGAATATAATCTATCTGGTTGCATACTCTATCTCCTGGACTATTCCATGTGTAGAGCCTTCGGATATGATGTTGAAATGTTGTGTTCATTATAGTTAGATTGTTTTCGATTGCAAAGTCAAGTAAGCGTTCACCCCGTTCATTTCTTACACCGATACCATATTTACCAATAATAGTTTTAATATGTTCGTTATCAGTTGTATCTCAAATTTTAGTATTGAAGTCGCCGGTTACTATGGTTATCTCTTTGTTCGGAATGTTTTGGAGAGAACTTCTTAGGTCATGGTAGAAATGGTCGATGTCGACATCGCCCGAAGCAGCAGTCGGAGCATACACCTGAACAGTATTTATTGGATTTGGCCTGGCGTTTAATTTTAAGGCCATGCTTCTGTCGCTTATAGCTTTAAAGTCCAAAACATATTTCTGTAATTTTTCGGATACAATGATTGCAACACCAGTATAATTTTGTTGATCGGCGCTTGAAAAGTAAACATAGTTATTAAGACTAGTTTTGAAGAATCCTTGACCTATCCAATGTGTCTTCGATAATCCTGCAATATCGATTTTATATCTGGACAGTTCCTTTTCTATAATTGCTAGTTTCTCGGTATGAGTTTTAAGTCCTTGTACATTCCACGTAGCCACGCTCAGGGTATTCCTCATTTGTATATATAATTTGTTTTTTTTTTAACTGTTTTGAAGAATAAGAATCCTGGCCTTTGATATTCTTGCGACCGGTAGCTGATTTACCACTACTTGACCCGGACTCAAGGTAGCGCCGGTTGTCAACCGGATTGCATGACGTTGTCCAAGGCCTACCGTCTTGCTTCATTACACATCATACTGACTGTCATGGGAAGATAATGCAGTGGATTCCCCTGCCCTACTGCATGGAAAAGATATAGGTAGGATATAATAGGAGGATGGATGGGATGGGTCATGATTTCTCTCAAGGAAATGGGAAGTGAGAGAAAATCAAGAGCTCGCATCGGCAGGGTTGCTAAGGCCCTGAAGTAGATCTACTCCCCACTGGGACTGCAGAGAGGTATCGACCTGCTACCGTAATATTATTACGGTATTACGGTACATAATACATATGTATATATATATGTATATATATATATATTTATTAAATCGACGGAGTCAGACCCGGTACGTTTAAGATAGGCCGTCAGACCCGGGGTATATCGGACGAAAAATGTTCAAGCGATGCCTTCAGGCCCTGATGCTGGACCGTTTAATTTGTCCCATTTGTATAAAAAAATAGACGTTTATTCGTTTTCGCCAGACCCACGACGTTGCCGCTTTTAATTCTCAAATATTTATATTAGAATTAGACGAACGGACCTTTTGACGCGGTAATTGATCACAGTGCAGAAGTAAAAACGTGCATTTCTGCTATAGTGAATATTATTGTACTTATTGTTAGTATTAGATATATTCTGTCTTATAAATGCATATGTACGAAAGCGTTTTTATATGAAATTTCTTTAAAAATTAAATTTCTTTGTAATAACCATAATCAAGTTACAATGCATTATCAATTTCGTTTAGTAGATTTTGTAAGTGTTTACTAAGTGATGATGGAACCCCGTTTATTATCTTTATACTTTAAAAGAAAAAAAAGTTTACCTACTTCTAAAATGTGGTCGTAGCTTCGAAATAAATTTTTAGATATTCGTACAATTTTTTGATACGACGATCGATTCCGACATTGACGTTTGTCATTTCAAAGGTAATTTGACGCCGTTTTTGGAATCATATATATGCCATGTGTATGCTTATCTAATAAGTAAAGTGTATTCATTTAGAATATTAAGAGATTCAGACGAAAAAAATCGAAATAGGTAGTAAGTATTCTTTAAGATTGTTTCTACAAGTTTTTATTTAAAAATTGTAACAGAGAACTATTATTATTATAGGGCCCCTCTCGGACCGCTTGGACGAGTCCATTATAAAGAGAGCGAGGGACAGTAGGTTGAAAAAACATATGATTTGATTTGTCACGGAAACGTAATGTTTAATAAAAGTGTTTTTGTTGAAATTCTTCGAGTTTTATCATGAAGTTTATGGTTCGACACCCAACAGAATAATTGTGGCAGATCCCGTCACAAAATATATAAATAATTTAAAGTCTAATCTGGCAAGTTGAGTTTGGATAAAACTGGCAACGTTTAAAAATGTAATGTAATCATTTAGAAATTTAAATAAAATTCGTATAACAGTAAAGTAGTAAAAAAGTGTAGGTTTAAAAGCATGAACTTCTGGGAATTCCCTATTTGTATAGTCTGGGAACCACCTACTTTTCTGAGAAACATACTCATGTTCAATTTATTAGAATTGTGATTAAAAGAAAGCACTATTCTCATTCATATTGCGATTAATGAATATTCATATTAACAATATTATACTACCATATATTACTCAAATTAAGTTTTCAAATACATAAGTAAGTAAACATAGATAGAAGATAGAACATGTTATAGAGATGCAACATAGAACGTGTTTCATACGTATTTATATGGTGTTGGTAGATAGCATCCAACCATAAACTGAATATACAACGTATTACCACAGTGTTATAGCAGCAATCAACGACTTTGTTACACTAAAATTTTATTTTAGATCTTAGTGAACGTAGTAATGTAATACAATTAATTATTGTACTGATTAACTACCATATCGAAAAAAACTGGCGTCAGCGGTGGCATGAAAATGAATATTGCTGTCATTTTATACCGGGTGCGTCTCAAAGTGACTCACCGCTATAACATTTAATTTTTTTCAGATAAAAAAACGAGATTTGGTATGTAGTATATGACATAAATTAGGAATTATTAGCGTATTCAATTGTTTTGTCACTTCTGTTTCACCGGAAATGACTACAACTTTGATTTTAAATTAGACCCCCAGTATGTTTTTGCATTATTTGATAGAAGCACTCTGAATCGAATGACATATCATATGTCAGCTTTTGACATTCTCGCTTTAAAAAAAAATTGTATTTTAAATTTCAATCTAGAGTGCCATGGCTGTGTTAAAAACACTAATTTTAATCAAAGAACCTTGGAAAATAGATTTGATAATCTAATGATTTTTGTGTCTTGTCCGGGCCCGTTCTTATAAGATGCCCAAATCGTATTTTTAATCATATCTCAATTTTAAACGGAACAAGGGAGGCTTGTTATATTTGGAAAAAGCATTTTTACGAATAATTTGGTACTACATACATGGTATTTCAGGTCAAATTGTCATTATGAACCGCATGTTACAATTTCAAATAAACATATGCGAATATGTCAAAAAATTGACATATTATGATGTCATTCTATTAAGGGTGTCATCAACACTATCCTAAAAACGGCGTATCGGCGTAATGGCGTAACGACCTTGAATAGATTTCCAGTAATTCTATTGGCTGTAAAATTCATCTGTCAGAAATTTTATCTGTCAAATTCATCTGTCAGAAATTTCAGCCAATAGAATTACTGGAAATCGATTCAAAGTCGTTACACCGAAACGCCATTTTAATGGATGCACCCTCGAAGTGTAATTTTGTATCGAATGTCAAAACACAAATACGACGACCGATTTAAGCAAAAAAATTTTTTTTAAATATTTAGTTATTACAATGAAATCATAGTACTGAAATAAATCTCTAGGTATTTCTACGTACAATTCTTTGATACGACGATCTGTTTTCTGAGACGAAAAGCATTTTTAGGTACTTCTACGTAAATTTCTAGGTACTCTGTACAATTTTGACCCATCGATCGATTTAGATGAATAAAATCTTTAAGTACTTCTGTAACATATTATAATAGTACCGAAATAAGTTTCTGGGTACCTACTCGTACAAATTTTTGACACGATGATCGATTTGGATAAATAATTTTTAGGTACTTCTGGTACTTCTACAACGAAACCATAGCATCAAAATACATTTTTAGTACTCGTACAACTTTTTGATCCGATTCGAGAAAAAAAATTATGTACTTCTACAACGAAATCATAGCATCGAGATAAATTGTTAGGTACTCGTACAATTTTTGACCGTCGCGCGTCGCGTCTATCGATTTAGATGAAAAAAATCTTTAAGTACTTCTATAACGAAATAATAACACGAAATAAATTTTTAGGTACTCATACAATTTTTTGACACGGTGATCGATTTATTTATTATTACATTATTTGATAGAAAATGACACTCTGAATCGAATGACATATCATATGTCAACTTTTGACATTCTCGCTTTAAAAAAATTGTATTTTAAATTTCAATCTAGAGTGCCATGGCTGTGTTAAAAACACTAATTTTTAATCAAGGAGCCATGGAAAAATAGATTGACAATCTAATTTTCGTGTCTTGTCCGGGCCCGTTCTTATAAGATGCCCAAATCGTATTTTTTAATCATATCAATTTTCCAAACGGAACAAGGGAGGCTCGTTAGCATATTTGGAAAAAGCATTTTTACAGACAATTTCGTACCACACACATATTTCAGGTCAAATTGTCATTATGAACCGCATGTTACAATTTCAAATAAAGCATATGCGAATATGTAAAAATTGACATATTATGATTTGTCATTCTATTGAGGGTCCATCCACACTATCCTAAAACGGCGTATCGGCGTAACGGCGTAACGACCTTGAATAGATTTTCAGTAATTCTATTGGCGGATGCGTCTCAAAAGTGGTCCATCGCTATATCTTTTTATTTATTTTTTTTGGATAAAAAACGAGATTTGGTATGTTAGTATATGACATAGAATTGGGTGGTTGGACGTATTCAATTGTTTTGGTCACTTCCAGTTTCACCAGAGATGACTACAACTTTTGATTATTAAATGACACCCCCGGTATGTTTTACATTATTCGATAGAAAATGACACTCTGAATAGAATAATATATCATATGTCAACTTTTGACATTTTCGCTTAAAAAATAGTATTTTAAATTTCTATCTATTATAGAGTGCCATGGATGTGTTAAAAACACTAATTTTTAATCAAAGAGCCTTGGAAAAATAGGTTGGCCAGTCTAATGATTTTCGTGTCTTGTCGGGGCCCGTTATAAGATATCAAAATCAATTTTAATCATATCTTAATTTTTTTTCAAACGGAACAAAGATGGCTCGTTAGCATATTTGGAAAAAGCATTTTCTACGAATAATTTGGTACCACAATTTGATACTCGAGTCAAATTGTCATTATAATTTTTCACATTTTTTTTATTTTTTTTTTAAGCGAGAATGTCCAAAATTGACATATTTATGATATGCCATTCTATTCAGTGTGATTTTCTATCGAATAATGTAAAAAACATACCAGAGTGCCATTTAAAAATCCAAAGTGTAGTCATTTCAGTGAAACAGGAAGTGACCAAAAACAGTGAATACGTCAATCTTAATTTATGTTATATACTAACATACCAAAAACTCGTTTTTTATCTGACAAAATAAAAAAAGTTGTAGGGGTGAGCCACTTTTGAGACATTACCGGTATGCGACGATCGATTTAAATGAAAATAATGTTTAAATACAACGAAGTCATAGTATGGAAATAAATTTCTAGGTACTCGTACATTTTTGACACGACGATCGATTTAGACGAAAAATTTTAGGTACTTCTACAACGAAATCACAGCATCGAAATAACTTT